TGAAGTTGAAATACTTCAGTTACATCAAATTGTTATTGCACTTTTTATCAGTGCAATACCCTTTGTCTCACACTGTCAGTGCAAGCATGCTGCTAAGCAGATCGCTGCACAAATCTCTATGGAGTGAAGATGACTGGAACGCATGGTGTGCGGAACAGTCATCAGACACAGTCCAAAAAAAAGCGATGTTATCTCTGACCTCAGCTAGACAGCTTGAAGCTCGTCTGGTGCGAGATAACGTCCTGAAGAAGCCTGCCTCGAAGAGGTACGGCAAGACTAATGTCAAAAGACGTGTAACCCCGTTGTCAGTCAAAAGGATTCACACCTTGCGAAGTGCAGGTGTGAAATCCCAACGACAGGGATAGTTGCGCACGCGTGACGCAGCAGATTGTAAACAGCCTCCTCTGCATGGACGTGGACTCACCGTACCACGTCAGAGTGAGAATGATTGCTCTTGTACGTAGCATGCCTGCAGGACGGCTCCCATCTATTCCTCGAGGACGTCGCGTCCTCGGAGGTCAAATACTTGGCGATATGACTACATCTTACATGCACAGTTGCCATGGTTAAGTCAGGATGTCATTTCACAACACCAAGTGCATGATATCGTGTTGCATCAACAAGATATGTCCCTGATCCATGTAATCAGTCTAATTATAGTATATATGCATGTACGTATTCGGTCGTTGGCCACTGATGCCTACAGTATGATATAGATCCAATTCTCGAGGGATATTGCGATCAAACGTAACAGTGTATGTATGCATGGATCTAGAAGTTTTGTTGTGAACATGTATATATGTGATATGATAGTCGTAATTAATGAGTTGAATAAATAGACCAGAATTTTATAAGGACGCTACAACGACGGATGTCGAATTAATTTGCCGACTGGTGCAAGAACCATACGCATGATGACGACGCACTGTCGCGCTGGCATATACGAAAACTCATGCCAGGTCTTTGCTGTCGTACAGCGCGGCACTTGTTGCATTTTCTTGAAATGGCTGTGACTCCTGCGAAGACTGCATTACCGTCAAGACAACCATAAGTCGAGTCTTGCATGACCTCGATGTAATGTATTGCCCGTCATGCAAACATACTGAGGCCTACACAGTGCATGTCACCATGATGTTACAGTATTACTATAAAATGTATGGATGTTCAACTATAAGATAATGCAGCATGTCGTGTATCCAGCCACCAATCACGACTGTTTATCATCATTTCCACATGCATCACTCGACTGGAGCATGATCAAATGTCTGTAATTATTCATTTGCAAGAAATATCGAGGTCGGTCTGAAACTTTTCGGGTTGTGCCTTTGTAATGGGTTTGTGCCTATATGATTCATTTAACTTTCCATTATGTACTGAAGACAACAAACCGTGGTTATATAGACCCAAAAGGTATCGAGCTCATACATGCTTATATGCATGTATACATGTAAACAGACATACATCGATAGGTAGATAGATAGATAGAGAGAGAGAGAGAGAGAGATATATATATATATTGATTGTGATATTGAACATGTGCACCAGGATTGATCTCTGGCTGTCCGAGTTGACAGCCATGTTTGGCTCAAGGCTAGCATGCAGCTAGCCAGCTAGTTCATTGTTCGTCGCATACATCTACTCGAAGACTCGAAGAATCAAACCAGAAGCATTCTATGGCTGGCTCCTTAGTGCCGTGCCGAGCGACTCGACTGCCTGTGGAGCCTGTGCCAGTGAGGCACCGAGACGCTCGGTATCGTGGCTTCTCTTGGCGGCGAATCTCCATCTAACCGCTGGACGTGGTATTACCATCACTCCTAGCTCCATCTCAGATTCTTGGCTTCAAGTCACGGCATTCACGGGTTCGGGGAGACAACTTGTTCCAGGTTTAGCCGGTGGTCTGCAAATGTAGAAGCATCAGCCAAGGCCAAGAAGCAGACGCAGATCACCTTCACAGGACGACGCAGCTTGCAATGCAGTAGCACTGAACTTTTCGATTGGCGTTTGCCAGGAGCCAAGAATGGCGACAAAGTGTTCTTTACCAAGGCCGAATGCTCTGCTGTGACGGAACCTTCGCTTGGCAAGGAAGCTTGCGACTGCCGGCTGCCAGAAAGAGCTCCGTTGCTGACATGGACGACTAAGGATGATGCTGCTGCTGTGATCAAGAACGGCAGAGCAGCAATCACCGTTGCTGAGGCTCCAGGGAACTCCGCGGGCGGGTCTTCTTCTGTTGGGTGGACAACTTCAGATTCAGGAAGCGAGCGGCCTGAAGCTTTGCCTGAAGCCGGCGGGTGGTGCAATCGCCGAGCAGGCAGTTGGCGAAGGGACGGGCGTTGTTACACGATGTACACTTGTCGGTTGACATGATTCCAAGGCTGGAGTTAGCTTGAATGTCATCAAACCCACACCGCCCTCGGTTGTGGAATCGGTCAGTCTTCCACTCAGGCATCGAACAGCAGTGCGAAAGTCACATGAGCGCATGCAGCACCCAGAAGTCGGATTCTTTCACACGGAATGAGCTGTGGAGTCATATGTGAGTGTGATATAGTGTGATGGCGCACAGCCTCTGCTTCGGCATGTCGGTGCAGAACAGATGACTTGCCTTGTTGACGTCTGAAGCCTCGCCTTTGCAGATATGCAATGCCTTATCAGGCCTTATCTCTAGATAGTTCCAGAACTCATTCAAGCTCCTGTCCTGGATTTCAGCATCAGTTGCAAGACTTGCCAGAATCTTGGTCCGACAAAGTACTTGGGTGCGCGTGCGTTCGTGCATGTGTGGGTTTTGCTGCGGCTTGAGGTCGCAGCTCCATCACCCGAGGGGTCACGACATCGGTGACGCTGAAGGGAGCTCAAGCCAATGCAAAAGCAGTCTTTGTCCCCGTTGAAAAAGCCTTCTGGCTAGAACAGGGAAGGGGTTGTTTTCGGCATGTGAACTGGTTCTCTTGCCCTGCCATCTCATGCACATGACCTTTGCATGCCAAGGATTGCAGTGACGCATCTCCCAAAGCAGTTTTGAATGTGGACGGGAAAGGTTCCTTCACCATCCCCACCGCAGGCCGGAAGCCCCCAGAAAGCACGAGGTATCGATTGACACGCTTCCTTGCTGAGAGAACGGGCCATGCGCGTGCAGGCAAGACCGGAGAGTATAAGCTTTGCTACCAGTCTCCTGGTGGGAGCGATTCAGTGCAGCAGACGGCGGCCAAGGGTGTTGTGAAGCTGCAGGCAGGCTGTGCCGGAGCACTTTGTGTAGTTTGCTTCTTGCAAACATGGCTTGGTATGTTGGACCGGTCAGTGAAAAGATCACAAAACGAACATGACCATGCACACCGCGTACTGCAGCATCGGATGCAGAAGACCAGACGATGTGTGGAGCTTGTGTGAGAAGGCCACAACGTCATTAAACACTCTTGATGTAAAGAACACGGAACATCATGATAAGTCTAGACTCTAGAGTCTGGGAAACAGCTAGATTTTCAAGTCTTCCTTGTCTGAGTGAGTAAGTTCCCCTCAAATCCTTCAACTTGCTTGTTTCATCATTGGCCTGCCAGATGTGTGCTTAGAAGACTGGTTCTTACAACTCTCATGCCGATGGCTCTTCATCTCCACACAACATGCCGAACATGGTCGCACCTTGCCCTTGGTTGTCTTTGCTGAGAGTCTTGTTGCTGCGAGAAGGTTCAAGAATCTGCTACAACAAGCCAAGATGAAATCACAGACACTTGGCATCTTTTGTTCTGCAATATTACAAAATTCCTGACTTATTTGCTTGGTTCCACTGTGATGCCTAGGGCATCTCACCAAGCCTGATCACAGTGAACGTGCCGACTGTGGTGTCCTTCACCGGTGCTGCGACAGGGGACAAAGCTGCTGCTTGTCACCTATTGACGGGACAGACGCACTCGTCTTTGCGTGTCGCTCTCATGGGTCAGAGCAAGACTTTGAGGTTTTTGTACACTCGGCATCTTCGGACTGTGCAGCGGTCACGCCGGAGAAAGATGTTGGCGCTGGACATGCGATGTTCACCATTACGACGGCAGGCTGGGTCAGTTTTGCACGTGTTTTTCCGTGTTTGCCCTTGGCAGTGGGAGCGTGGGCCATGGCCTGTCAGGTGAGTACACCTTGTGCTATCGATCTGCGGGTGCACAGGACTCTGTTGCCCAGAATGGAGAAGGGGTGAAACTGCAGGCCCGAGCGGTGTTGGACCTGCCCGGCATGGGACCTGCTTCATTTTATGTGGCATTTGCTTTAACTTTTGAGACTGTCGCTGTTGTGCTTCTGGTACCGCTTGTGCTGCTGTGACTGTCATCATCGACCTTGCCATTGCTCCACGCAACTAGGCTTCCCGTTGCCTGAACAACTGCTCTCACGATTACCGCGGCATCATGCGGCACCCTTCCCGTTCTGCTGACAGGCTTGCTGGTAAGTTTTTAGTTATTGAAGTTTTCGTCACTCTGGACACTGTCGTGATGGTTGATATCCAATGGGCCCTCAATCGGCGCGGTAAGTATCTTCACTAATAGTGCTTGTGGCTTTTGCATGCTACCTTCATCGTTGTGATTTGTTCTGCTTGTTCACGAGTATAGTGCTGATTGAGTTTGACAATGTCCATGTGTCATGTACCAGTACTCATGGTCTTAGTGAGCTAGGCCTCCTAGCTCTTCGTTGCGTGTAGCGCAATGCTGACCAACATCATATCTTGATTGTAGCAACAGCGTTTCTTTAACTCTTTGTTGTTTTGACACCGTTCTTAGTTTCTTCCTGCTGCGTCTCCTGATGCTGTGGTTGTGCGTTGTGGTTGTCTTCGCCGTTATCGATGTCGTTGTGTCGATGTTCTTCTTTTGTTGCTGCTGGTGTGGGTGGCAGCCTCAAGGTTCGTACGAGCACCGTGGCTCATGATTGTCTGCACTGCTGGTAGGCTGTGATGATAGCGAGGACCAGTCCTATCAAAAGTCCTATCTGACAAGAATTCCAGAATCATTGCAGGTCAAAGCGCCTGGCGTCACCAAAGAGATGGTTGGGCGCTGGCAGAGCAAGGAGGGACAGCTGGATTGCACATCTCTGACATACGTGCCCTACTGTGGTGTATCGCAAGAAGAGAAATGCAGCTTGGATTTGTAGATATCTAGAGGAGTTGCATTCGCCGTGATAGCTGTGGAGATCCGTTTGGGTTCGGTGCTCCTCACTCCTGGCTCTAAGGCAGCCGAACCTACATGGTCCAGTCTGGCATCGGAGTCTTGACTGTGATAGACTGATTTCTAAAGGGAAGCAGAGTTCCTCGTGCAACTTATGCGGTGAACATGAACGTTCTGGCACTGTGCGACTGTTCTCAGGTTACAAGTGTAGTTGGAATCTTCAAGCATGGCCTCCAAAGTGCACGGTCGAGTCTGCAACAGATGTTGCAAAAATCTGCATGTCGGGAAGATGCGCAAATGACGCTTGTTGGTGAAGCTCTCCACCACTATGCCTTCGAAGTCATTCGTCAGCATAGAGACACCGCCACAGACTGCATGTCTGTGCGGTTGGAAAGTTGAGTCAGCTCGCTCTGAGGCGAAAAAATATTGGATAAAGAACAAGCTGAGCAATGCAAAACTGCAATGCCCCGGGTTGGATTGCTGAGTCAGTTTGTGGCGTAGCCAGCCTTTCACTCAATTTGCTGCATCTCTTATGGCCCCCGTGTGCAAAAAGCTGTTAGATCCTGTTCCCAGCCCGTTGAGCACTTTGTTTGCAATTGTGGCTTTGAATCGGCAGAAGCTGCGTTCGTCAGCCATTTCTCTCACTTTAGCACAGGGCATCTTTGGTAGTTCTTGGTAGAAGAGGATGGCGCAGACTTTTGCGGATGATCATAAGATTGATGAGCTGGTTGAGAAAGTCCCGGCAGGCAAGCTCCTCTATTTCGGTCCGCTTCTCTGTCTGGCTCCCATTGTCTGAATCTCTCTCGCTCTCCTTTCTGAGTCTTCCGTGTTCTCCGCGTGATCGTCTTACATCCTCCGGTCCTAACCACCGTAAGGAGACTTGTGTCGGATTTGTGCCCGAAGATCCTGCATTTAGGGTACGCGGTATTACACAGTATAACTGCATTGAGAGGTTGGTTTTCCTTCGAGTACTTCCCGCCGAAGACCGCGGAGGGCGTCGAAAACCTGCGCAAGCGGATTGTGAAGATGAAGGCCTGAGGGCCTTAATTCGCACAGCAGAAGTAGTCCTCCCAGTGCTTTGCGCAGTCTTGTGAGGCCCTGGGCCCTCTTTTCACAGACTTCACTTGGGGAGCTGGTGGCTCCACATCGGAGCTTACCTTGAAGCTCACCTCGGCTGCCAAGAACGAGTTTGGCACCGTTGCCAACATGCACTTGACCTGCACTAACCAGAGCTCCGAGATGACGGAGAATGCTTTGAAGGAGTGCAAGCAGCTGGGAGTGCGCAACATCGTTGCCCTCAGGGGTGATCCTCCCCGAGGTCAGGAGAAGTGGACGGCCACCGAAGGTGGCTTCAGCAGCGCTCTGGATCTGGTCAAGTTCATCAGGAAACACTTCGGCGACTACTTCTCAATCTCCGTGGCAGGCTATCCTGAAGGGCACCCCGACAACATTGAGACGGTTGAAGGCGGGGTGGCAGCTCTGACCGAGTCCGAAAAGCGAAGGGCACGAGTGGTGAAGGATGCCTCCGGCAAAGAGACTGTGACCGTCTGCCGCGATGCCAATTTCCACAAGGAGATGGTGTACCTGGATCGGCCGAGCCTTATAAATTGTCTCCGAGCTTTGTGGGTAGGGTGGCCCAGGTTAGTCAGAAGGACAAGATAAATTACCAGCGTTTTGATTTCCAAGGTATCTGAAGGAGAAGGTCGATGCCGGTGCCGGCTTCGTCATTACTCAGATGTTCCTGGATGCCCAGGTTCCTAAGCTCAATAGCACGAAGAGTCGCTGGTATCGAAGTTGGGCATGGCAGCGCTTACTAAACTAGACCAAGTCGCAGCGATGTCTTCATCTATGACGAAGCAGTCCCTTTGTCCAGGGGGGCGCCCAAAGCTTGTGTGCAGCTTGAGGGGAATGGCTTC